CTTCAGGATTCCATACAATACCTAGTAATATGTAAATGCTATAGAAAGTTGTCATATGGTATTTAGGGAATAAAATTTGTACATGTTCAGTATAGACACTTTTTTTTTCCTTTTTGTCTTTTTGAGACAGCTGCTAGGGGCCGGGGGCTGTCAGCGCCCCACCCGCCGCGGGCCGCGCGCCGCCGGAACTCCGCGGCGCCTCCTTAAAAGCGGCCCCCGCGCCACTCTTTTTTCCCCCTTTTTGTTACATTGTAGGAGCGGAAAGAATGTCGGAGCGGGCCGCGGATGACGTCAGGGGGGAGTCGCGCCGCGCGGCGGGCGGAGCAGCGGCCGCCCGGCAGCACCAGCTTCAGCCTCCGCAGCCCCAGCGGCAGCCGCCGCGGCGCCCACGGCCAGAGGACGGCGGCCCGGGAGCTGCCTCTAGCTCGGCCGCCGCCATGGCGACGCTGTGGGAGCGCAGGCCCCTGCCCAGCCCCGAAGCGATGCTGGGACAGCCGTGGAATCTGTGGGTCGAAGCTTCCAAACTTCCAGGGAAGGACGGTGAGTGTCCACATGCCTTCGGCCTCCCCGCGCCCCCGCCTTCCCTCTCCCCGGCTTCCCGGCCCTGCGCCCTGCCCTGTGACCCGCCCCCTCGGGGGTCGGAGATGCTATAGTTCACTGGGTTGCGGAACGCGGAGGTGCCCACACCTACCCTGTGCGTGCGTGAGCGTGCGTCACACTCCTGGCCACTGACCTGCCTCTCCTCCTGTGTGTGTATCTCCTAGGGACCGAATTGGACGAAAGTTTGAAGGAGTTTGGGAAAAACCGCGAAGTCATGGGGCTCTGTCGGGAAGGTGAGTCCAGCCCCGATGGTGGAGTTTGTGCCAACCCTAGGGAAGTTTTCTTGTTGCTTCAGCCCACCTTCCCTGCTTCCCCCTTGGAGGAAGATGCTGAAGAGGAGGGACTCGGGTGGGCAGAGCATTTGGAGAATCTGGCTGCAGGGGGCTTCCTGCAGTGGGCAGCGACCTAGAAACCCCCCCCCCTCCCGGAAGCTTCACAAGGTGCAACCTCAGCAGCAGTTGGAAGTGATGAGCATAGGAAACCGGCTGGGAGTTTAACCTAGATCCTTCCTATCTGACCCCCTTATGGAAAGCACCAGTGGAGGGAAGAACTCTCAGCTTTGAAATGTTTGAGGGTGATATGGAGAGGAAATCTTGACATCCTGGATTTTCTTAAGGCAATAAGAATGAATTTTGAACCTTAAAAGTAAAGTATCTTATCTTTGTAACCTTGTTCGCATAGGACCTAAAGTACAAGTTTAGGATGCTACCAGAAGTCAACCAAGGAGTGCAGTTGGTCAGATTTGTGTGTGTTTGCACTGCCAAATGAGGGAACAGAAATCCAGAATTTTTCTGCTTGTAGAGTAAAATCAGAGGCTAATTAGTGGTTAGTTTTCAACTTTCGTGAAAGACTACTTTAGGTAGGGAAAGATATGCTCCCTGGGAGTCAGGGAAGGTGTCTGGAAACTTGCATTTGCCCTTGGGATTACCTTTTTTGGGGGAACTCTCATCTTTTGATACCTAATGCTTACCTGGACACTAATGGGAAAGGTCATGGCCTTGAGTCAAGTTTGGGATCTAAAAACAGAGTTTACATTTCTCAGAACAGTTTGATTTCTCACCTGCAGCCATTTGTTTTGGCAGTGTTTTTACTCAGGACCCAAGAAGTCGACTTTGGGCAGCTGGATTTCTCAGTCCAGAACTGGCATACTGTTACTGCCTCAGGTTTACTCCGTGTTTTTAGCACCTGCTTTGCTTCCTTTTGCCACACGGCCAGTTGGCGCTGCCAAGAAGAGTTAACGCTGGTGGCAGCCCTCTGGGAGCTTCCATTGGAACAGATTATAGGGTAAATTAGTTGATTTTCAAAATAAGAATTGCTGTTTGAGGGCAAAGGAAAGAGGGAAAGCACAGGACTTGGTGGCGGTGTTGCAATAGGAAAAATCAGTTGTTAGTCCGGTTTTAGTGTTGACTTGGCAGATTGCCTGGACTTGAAAAATTAAAATCACTAGGTGGCAACCCTCATAGGAAGTGGTGGAGTGGAGTGCTAGCGGACCTAATCCACTCTTGTTCTTAGTTTTCATTCTTGGGTGTGGATGTATTTCCCATTAAGGGCTTCTATGTCTCTGTCAGTACAGAATGCTAATTATTGGCAGTTTCCCTATAGAGAATGAGTGTGTTTCACTGAATGCCTTGGTTTGGATTGGGACCCATCCAAATTTAGTGGCTGAACCTATTTTTGCTTTATTTAATATTTTCTAATTGGAACATGTTAATCAACAGATTTTCCACAAAGCTCTAAGACCTTGTAACTACTTAAGCCACCAGAAGGTCATGGATCTGGCAGCACGTACCTCTGAACTGTCAACTATTAGTGTTTGCTAAAGATGGCTTTTTTAAAAGTCGCTGTCACCATTTAGAGGATGCGGTAACTGACTTATGCTTGCCTGCTTTGAGTAGAGAATGAAGCTTAAAATTCAGTAAGTTCTTCATTTGTGACTTTGGTATAGTTGAAAAATCCAAACTTGGTGAAAAATTGAGGCTACATTGGACTACATATTGAGACCTTGTGTTTAAAAAGAGGGCTGGGTTAATAGTTTAGTGGATAAAGTGCATGCATGGGTACCTGAGTTTGACCCCTGGAATCCACATTTTAAAAAACAAAAAAGCATGTGCATCTTGGTGCATGCTTGTAATCCCACTGCTGGGGAGGTAGAGAGAGGCGTGTCCTGGGCTCCCTGGCCAGCCTTACCTACTTGGTTGCTCCACAGCAATGAGAGACCCTGTTTCACAAAACAAGG